GTCCGTAAACTTCGCTGCAGTAATTCAACATGTGACGACGCGCTCTGAAAGGAGAACTTTCATAATTCAAAACTCCGTTTCTGTAGGGACTCGTTCTAGGCTTCTTTGAATATTTATGGTTCAATTATTTTTCTGTCGGCGCACTTAAAAAACAAGGCAGCGCACGCACAATGCGTCGGCTGGCTATTAAACAGCGCCCTATCATATACACACGTCATAAAACGTAAAACATAGAACCGTGAAATGGCAACGATGTGAAGGGAGGGGGTCGTGGCCTATTTCAAGTGTGGCTAGACTTAAGTCAGGTCGAGAATCGAAGCCAGGACTCCCAAAACCGAAGTGCAGGCAATGAAACAGAATGTGACAGAGGCTCGGTTAGTCAACAGATAAATCCGCGAAGTCGTAAACTCGCTCTGAACATTGCGGTGTTTATAAACACGTGTTTCTGTTATTGCATGGGCTCCTGAATGTGAGCAAACGACGCTCGTAATCTTTGGCGGAAGCCTCGCCCACCCGAATTCGTAACAGAGACGAGCGCTCTTCGTTAGGGGCTCGTTAAATAAGAAATCAATACGGACAAAATTTTACACAGAAGGAAGTCGACGGGGCTGCGTCGTAACAGAACAAACTGCACGCGTACCGCAGAGAACTCGATGCGTCCCCGTCACGAGGGTCGCCTCGAACCTCGTGACCAGGACGCAGACATCACAGTCTTCGGTTCACTCCCGGGCGGCTTACCTCGGAAACATCTTCTCGCAGTCCATGTGGCCCCAGCCGAGCGTAACCGCACTGACGAGTCGCTCTAGGGCGCTCTCCACCGGGAACTCCCCCATCAGCATCCGCAGGCCCAGGCTTCAGACCAGAACAGAACAGAACAGAAAAGGTTAGCATGAGCCGAGCAATCTGGCAACCGGAACTACAAGTTGGAGATCGGATGCCCGTGAAATGGCTGTACGCCCGTTAACCAAGCGATACCACACACGTGCGTCTAGCGCAGGATAAGAATGCGTGTTCGTGGTCTGGAGAAATAAATTAATGAAAATCTGGAGATTTGAAAACCCCTTCTTTGCAACAGCGATCAGCAAACGAGACAAAATTCTGCATCCCGAATTATCCGTCCATCAGCGCAAAAAGCCGAAGCTGCGTCCCTTCTTCCTGCACCGGAGAAAACGTGCCAGGGCACAGAGAGCTGCTGTACCTCTGACCTTTGAACTAAACCTCCCTCTCGTGTCTGAGTAATTAACGGCGACACGGGCAGCGCATCTCATCTTACAGCGCTCTTTCAATGAGACAGACAGACAGACAGACAGACAGGAAAGCCACCAACAGCGTTCATTCGTGCTTCAAAGCCCCGAGGCGTCGGAGCGGTGCGCACCTGTTCATCTTGGCCAGGAAGCCGTACGGCCCGTTCAGACGCGCCGTCTTGTCCAGATTCCTGCAGTACAGCGTCCAGATGCAGTCCAGAGCGTTGCTGCCTTCCAGAGAAGAGATCGCGGGAGCCACGCTCCAACGGTACGCGCGCCCCAGGTTCACGACCGCTCGCAGTGACCCGGCCACGAACTCCATGAATTCCTGCAAGAGGCTCTTGTCACTGTCGTCTTCCTTGTTCTCCTTCCCGATCCTTGACGTCGGCTCCTGCGAAACAAATCAAGGAAATTGCTTTCGCATTACCGAGTTCAACGTTTTCGCAAGATCCCTCCACCAGCAGCAACTTACAGCAAGATGAATCCAATCCCCTCCCAGACACCACGACTTTCAGATCCGTTTTAATATTATCGTTCCGCCGGGTTACCTACCTGTAACTGCCTGACCTTCTCGGGCGGCATGAACAGCGCGTTCAGGGCAAGGACTTCCGGGTCTCTGAGCATCTCTTCGCTGGACAGCCTCTCTTCCTCCCACGCGATCTGCTGCACATTGCGTAGCAGCAGGAGGTCGAATGCCAGCAGCCCGAAGGACACCAAGCTGCTGCTGTTGTGGAGGACGGCCGGGTCAGTGACGTTCAGCGCGGATTCGTTGTAGTACATCTCCTTCAGCTGGTCCAGCAGGAAGCTGGAGTTGCCTTCGTTCAACGATCGGTTCAGAGCGACCAGAACCTTCATGAAGTCGCCGCTTAAACTGTCGCTGTCGGCGGCATGTTTCCCTGCCAGGTCCTCGTCGGTGGACAGCCAGTTGTACAGCTCCTGTAAGCGTCCCTGGAGGAAAGTCGCGAAAGGGTTCTCAGCCAAGTCGGGGTCCTCACCGTCGTACCTGTCCGGGTTCCTGGAGCTGTAAAACAGACCGTCGTCGTGGTCCAAGCTGGGAACACCGTCTCTGTCCACGCCGTCTTCTGTGATTTCGTGAAGACGTTCCGCGATCGAGGGTTTCGTCACGTGTAGGTTCGCCGATTGTTGCAAAGGCACGTAATCCCTGTCGTGCGGGTAATCGAAATTCTGAGGCATGAAGTGTTCGCCTTTCTCGTTTACGACGTCGCTTATATCAAAGTGCCTTACATCTTCAATCCCTTGGCCCAGAAATGCACTGACAATGTCGTCTTCAGATGTCAGAGGGCTGTTTTCCTCACTGGTGTGCAGGAGTTCGCCGGCATCGTGTTCAGATTCGCTGAACATCAGAGGCTCCGGAGCGGGTTGCCTTCCCGCGGCCACTTCTGTACCGCCGCTGTAGGGCAGTGCTGACAATGTCGTCGACTCATGTTCCGGGTACTTCTTCCGGCTGCTCGCAGCGGTCGGCGGCGGTTCTTTTTTCCGGGTGGCGGTTTCCCCCGCAGTCGGGTCGCCCGGAAGTAAAGTCGGTGTTTCCGTTATCGGCTGAGGATCCAGGGGCGATCCAGACGTCGAGGCGTCTTCATGGCGAATCGCGGGAGCGTCTGTCGCAACATCTTCTATCTCGCTTGTCGTTTGCGAATTGCGCACCTCTTCGACGTAAGCTTCTTCCCCTAAATCTTTATAAACCAATTCCGTGGTCGGCGCCACCTCTGCTTCGTCGTACTGTTTCCGTCCTTCCCCCTCGTTGTCTTCATTCGTTTTCTGGTTCGCTGCTCCGACCACTGTCTGTTGCTTCTCGGTCCTTGGTGCCGACGGCATCTTTTCGTCGTCGAAGTTGTCGCTCTTGGCCGCCACCGTCTTCCTGCTGTCTCCGCTTTCGACGTTTAGGCCGAGCCATAACGTGATTCCTATGAACGCGCAGACCGAAACAAGGGCCAGCATTCCCACCGATATCCACCACTTCATGTGGCCGCCGCTCTCTGGCTTCTCCTCAGCCACTTTGACGTGCCGCTGCATCCTGGCGAGCAATCGACAAACCTCACTCGGCGACTGAGTCTCACTGCGCGTTCTTCGGATGCAGTCAGTTCTTTTTGAGTTCCCTCTTCTCCGCCCCCCTTCTTCTGCTGTCTTCCACTTCCACACTTCACCTACACACGCCTCGGGCAGCGCAGAAATTCGGTTCCACTACACCGGTACACCAGGAAGGTCAGCGCACTCCTGTGAGAACAGGCGGGTTGCGTGCAAACAGGAGACATGTGCAAAGACGATGATAATGCACGCAAAATAACATAAAAAGGACCGGACTACATCTGACTCAGGACATAGGCTCCAGCAACTGTGACATCAGACATCGACTATGTCAGCCTGTCATCGAAAAGAATCCGCACGGCAGCGATGAAGACGTGGATGCTCGGGTTGCGGTAGATACCAGACGTTTCGGAGGGACATGATGTTTCTATCTTCAGGGCTCAAAATCTACCTGCGACTCCACACGATGTGAACAACCCAGATTCCCAGCATCGACTCATAAAATCAGTGACAACAGACAGGGAGCTCTGTGTCGTAAATGTGCGAGCAGAACACGAAAATAATTTCTAACGCAATAAAAATGAAACGAAGTAGCTTCTGGACGACTTCAATTTGACGGCCATATTTCGAATAAGTCATTGGATGTGAAAGGAAACGTTAGAGTTACCCAGTTCTTCGGCTCGAGTCAGGTTCCTCCCGCCGAACACAACGGTTCGGTTGGGAGACTTACGTCGCTTTTGTAAGAACAAAAACAAGCCAACAAAGGAGCGGATTTGTCGCAGAACGAAGACTGCTCGCGGTAATGTATGGCATTAACTTGACAGTGGCTGCAAAGTCAAGAGACTCGGCTAATGCGGCTTCGTTCCTCACGAAAGGCATCCTCTATTATCCGGTATCCGGACCTGGAATTTAGGATAAATCTCGATTCTGTTCTGTGAGTTATGAATCGAGATTACGGTGACCAAGTCCTACTTTACTTCTGTCGCCAGGGGTAGCCAAACGTATCAACACGCGAAAAAGTTGATTAAACAGAAAATATCCGATTTGTAGCCAATAACAACTTTACGCATGCGCACTCATGGCACGCAAATTCGTTCCCTTCTTAATGTGGTTATTGTCCACAGCAAATTCTGATCGCCCTTCATTACGAAAACCTTTTTTTGCTGATACATAAAGAAAAATTAGAGAACTCGAGGTAAGACGCGGACTCCGCGCTGTGGTGCGAATTGAAGCTGCGTCAGCCAAAATGCTGATTGCTGACAGAAGCAGGTGCTCCGCGTTCCTCTCACGACTCGGGTCGGAAAACAGTTTGCGAGCAATTGAGTTCACAGGCCGTGCGAGGGGTTCACAAAGCTTACAATTGCTTAGAAGAAATAGTTCTCGTAGGCCCGCGTGCGACAAAAGTTATTTTACACTTTTATGGCAAATAAACTTTACAAATTGTTCGTAAGTCAGAAGTAAAATTTGGGGTTCTCGCGGCGATGAATACAAAGATGGCTGTGTTCTGGGTTGAAGCGCCGTGTAGTCTAGTACAGTGGTATTCAACCTAGGGTACGCGTACCCTCGGGGGTAAGTGAAATTTAAAAAGAAATATATTATTTTATGATAAACACTGAATAATCAGTAATGTAATTTATTTTAGATGTAGATTATATACTATGTATAACTTGAATTATACACCAAAAACTTTGGGGGTACAAAATTGAAGAGAAATTATATCTGGGGGTTGAATACCACTGGTCTAGTAAATGCAGACGTCCTTGCTGCCTCCATCGTCAGGGCGATGACTACACAACACAATATCCAAGAAGAGAGCCCTCTTCAAATTAGCCGCCGTCAGAACCTGACATCTCACAACGGGATCAGATGCTTCATTGACGCCACAAGTCGGTCCTTCGCCCCGGGTATCTCGGAACTCCATTCGAGAGTCTTTCTAAAGAATCTGCCGATACCTGAACTACGTAGATGGTCATGAAGTTTTTATGATCACAAGAGCCCGCCACTTTGTTTTCAGTTCCGTCTTAATGTTATCCTTCCATCTGTTCCTACGTCTCGCAAATCGTCTTTTCCCTTCCGTTTTGACATCGAAGTTCACGCAGACCACGACGACCTGCTTCGTTGCGACCACCAGGTGCAGTTAACGCGCATATGCTCTGTTACCCAGTTTCCATAATCATTTGTTAGGTCGTCTCTGACCTGGCGAAGGAAACCCGTTGCAAGGGCCTGATTCCGTTTGTCACACAGACGCGAGATCATGCAAATTGGACGAATTTCCGAGGCCTGACGGCAACCAAGAGCAGGGACGAGCAGATCAGCGCTGCGTCAGATTCCGGGCGTGAACGAACCGGAAGTGAATCCAAAGGCAAAACTGCTCCAACGACTTTCTGTCTCGTGAACACGAGAGTAGATCTTGTGGCACTCGTACCATTACAGAATTTGTCCATTCATAAACAATTTAACGACGTTTCTCCATGTATATAGGTTTATACCGTCGAAGCATTACAGAATGCACTTAGTACCACGCGCGATCTACTTCAAATTCAGCAACGACAACGCAGAAGTAAGAAATTCCGCTAGAATGCGGTAAGCAGTCTTAGGAACTGGCTTAAGTACGTGTACAGAACAACTAATGCAAAGGTTAAAATAAAAATTACAATTACGGGCAGATTAAATTCGGGGAAATTCTACCACGAAGCTCGGAGCCTCGGCGAAAGCATAACGACCAAAATACACGAAACTTGGTCTCTGGGCCGAACGCGCTTGGGTGCAACGGCCTCTCTGCCTTCGGTCGCTCGTTCCGCCGACTAACGGTCCAACGCGGACAGTTTCTGCTGTGCCACTTACCGTGACGGCGCTGTCTTCAGCTATTCTGTGTGTTTGTTTGTTTGTTTCTTAGTGTGTGCGTGTGTGTTACCTCTCGGACCTATTGTCTTCTTCTTGAGTAGCCCAGACAAAGCAAAATGCAACATGAGTCAAAATATTACGCAGCCGGCCCGTATCCTGGG